ATGGGGCGAAGCTCATGCCATACTTAGATGCCTCAACCGCCAAACGATCCAGAATGAGTTGCATACTCTGAGGATCGTCACCAAGTAAGGCGATATCATCAGCATAATCTAAGTCGGTCGCGCGCTCACCCGGTAGAAACTCTAAGCCAAAAATGTTGGAAACCTTCTAGAGCATTCGACAGAACGTCTTCGATTGCGAAGTTGAAAAGGAATGGGGACATAGGGCAGCCATGTCGCACACCGCTATTGACAGTGAATTGCGAGGAAAGTTTGCCATAGACCCTCACTCTGCCGCATGTATGAAGGTAAAGTGCTCGTAAGATGGCGGTATATTTCTCTGGCACCCCGTTCTTTAGTAAGCAACGCCATAAAGCAGGTCGAACAACGGAGTCAAAAGCGGCACGTATGTCTAGGAATGCAATGTGATAAATGTGGCGATGTTCGAGGAGTTGGCGGAGCGTGAAGATTTGATTCACGCATCCGCGGCCAGGACGGAAAGCAGCTTGTTCTTCACGGTAGTATGATTCACGTACTGGGGATAGCCTGCGAAGCAGAATGGATGCCAACAGCTTAGAGGCAACCGAAATAGGACTAATCCCGTGATGATTTGCATATGAAGTGCGAGCGCCTTTCTTGAAAATCGGGATGATGACTGATTCTCCCCAAGAGGAAGGCACTTTCTCTTCATGCCAAATTTTTGCGAACAGCGCGGTCAGCTGGTTAATGATCGCCACACCGCCATACTTGGATAGTTCCGGAGGAAGTTCATCTAAGCCGGCAGCCTTGAAGCACTTCAAGCGTCGAATCTCAAGGCAGACTTTCGCTTCACTGGGTGGATTCAGAGGGACGAGCCAGGGTGGACAACAACGTGTACTGCATGTACTGATGGATGGTGGAGGCCAGTTGAACTGTGAGTGAAAGTGCTCGGCCCAACGGTCCATAGGCCTCTGTTAGTTGGTGATCAGAGACTCATCCACCTCACAAATGACCTCACTGACACCAGGTTTCCTGAGGCCAGTGGACCGAATGAGTTGGAAAAGCCTGCGAGTGTTGCCAGAGAGGGCAGCGGTCTCCATCTCTAAAGTACGTTCAGACCACCATGTCTCGCGATCCTTGCGTAGGCTTTGCTTGAGCAGCCGGTTGGCAGAACGGCGCCGCTCGTTGCAATCTGATTCCGCGGGGATATCTTTGCGGCGTTCGAACAGCTCCAGAGAACGAGCAGAGATCCAAGCTTTCAAGGGGCGTCGAGTTAGACCGCAGCATGACTGTCCGGAAATGGTCAGCGCTTTCCGAATACAAGTCCAGTGTTGTTCCACTTCTCGCAGTGGATTGCAACTGAGTGCATATGCCAGTGAAGACTGATAGCTCGTCTGGACAGAGGAATCAGTTAATCTGTTTACATCAATCTTGCGGTGCTTCGTGTTTCGGGATCCTCCAAAACACATACAGATTTTCGCGCAGACCAGAGCATGACCTGAGTCAACGAAGGTGGACCAAAAGGACCTGCAGTCTAGTACGCTGCCGCGCCATCTTAAGCTAATTGCAATGTGATCAATTTGAGACCACGGTTGTGTTGAAGAAGGGGGACGCCACGTTGCGGAACGCTTCTTCGTACGCCTGAAGTTAGTGCTCGAAGGAAACAGACGGTTGTCTTCGCACAATGTGAGAAGTCTCTCTCCGTTATCAGAGCGGTTCTCATCGAGTGAGTGATGGCCACCAAGGTGGCGTTCGTATGGTAACAGGCGGCCAACCCGTGCATTAAAATCCCCAGCAAGGATAACGACATCCGACTTTTTAGCATTAGTCAAGAGCTGTTGTAGAACCCGATAGAATTCGTCCTTGACCGAGTCGCCACTGCAGTCAGTTGGAGCGTACACGGAGATCACAAACAAGTTGTGTCTCTCTTCGCGGTGCCTGTTGATTCTACACGAACCCCGAAGCCGAAGTGCACATAGTCGGCTGTTAATAGGGAACCAGTCCAGTAGTGCCGCCTCGGCCTTGTCACTCAGTGCTATACCTACACCAGCCAGACCCGCTGAGGCTGCTACTGGATCTCCAGAAAGACGCAGGTGATATCTGGCTTCGTGGTCAGTGGGGGATGTCAGTGTAAGCACAGTGCTGGGATCTTGCAAACGGGTTTCGGAAAGGCAGCAGACATCAATGTCTAGGGAATCTAGAGTGCGCGCTAGACCGGCTTGCTGTCCAATCTGCATGAGTGTCCGAAAGTTGAAGCACGCCAGACGGAACGAGGATCGGGGACGAAGGAGAGCCATAGATTGAACCTCTTGGTTTGCGGCGCAACCGGAATCGCAGCCAGATTGTTGAGCACATGAATCGGGTAACGGAATGTGAGGATTGTTAACAAACAAACAATTGGCGTGTGATGAAGTCGCGTGAAAGTGACTAGCAGAAACAGCAGCTGATGAGCAAGTTGTAATACAGTCCACGGTTTTGCGAGAGGGCGTGATACAACCCGGTTGCCCAAGCCGAAGTAGGGAGTTGACTTAGGGGACTCCACCCCGAGCCTTTGGCTAAATAACCTATCCGCAAGACAGCGGGGCGAATTTAGAGAATCGCGCCAATTGGGAGGCGTTGACTGAATGATCAGCTCATGCGTCTTTGTTTGGTAGATTACCAAACAGGGGCCCAATACTCCCCATACAGTCAGCACACCTGCTGGAATACAATGTCCCACCGAGGTGGAACATTGTCGCCGAACACTTTGCTGGGATGGGGTACACCCGAACCACCCAGCTGGCACAACGAGGAGGTAGTTCGGCAAGCCAGTCCTAGACAGCTGTATACAAAGGTGTTCGTCGTTCAGCGTAATTGATTCCTCTGGTATCGAACAACCGCGATAAATGACGTGATTTCTTCGACAAGAACTTCATCACTCAGGTGTCGCACCATTTCGCAAGAGAGTGATGGTCTTCCTGTGTGAGCAATAGTGTATCTTGAAGGTCAGATCGTCAGAATTTGCAGACTACCTACATGTCACTTGCAAATAGGAAAGACATGCCATGTCTAATAATCACATGGATGTTACTGAAGTAAAAAAGGAGCAGTAACGGACCAAGTACACCCCCTTAGACGTAATGAAGATTGTTGGTCATTCATGCTAACTACCCGAGAACAGTCGCTCAGGTATGACGATAGCCAGCCCAGCAGTGGGTCCTGAATTCACAAGAAAGCAACCGTTTTTCAGCAGCGGTTTGTAGGGCACTCGATAGAATGCCTTCTCCATGTCCAGGAGCAGAAGTATGACTGCGTATGCATAGTCAATAGTATCCGAAACATGGTTTAGTTAATGCAATTGGCAGGTTATACACAATGGTTTGTCCAAGAAAGCATTGTGTACTACGCTTCATATGGTTTAGCGATTGCTGTGGTGACACCAGCATCAGGGTAAGCCGAGTCGCCTACGCACAGATCATTAAGATAATGACAATGAGCTAAAATAAGGGGGAAGCAAAAAATATGGAGAAGTGCTGAACCAGGTCACAAAAAACATCGCAGACAGGTATAACAGCAAAGTCAAAGCAACAATTTAGACGACATTACGAAGATAGTTACATTGATTCCGCCAATCCGCGCAACTTTAACACAGAAATCTGAAGATTGGAGATGAAAAACAATGTGTGCCGAAATCGGTGCCAGGGGCCTGGAGCAGGAGCTGAGCAGCTTTCAAAGGCAGCTAAAGCATGCGATTGCGCTGATTTGGATGAGGAGTATTCTAGTAGCTTACTGCCAGCGGTGTTTTTCGCTCGAAAAGAAATGACCCAGTGGCATTGAAACTTTGAGCCATTTTCTTAAGGTTGAGAACAAACAGACACGGATTTTATGAGACTGAATGCAACTAAAACCGATAAGTTCTCCGGTACGTGATGGACATGTTCGGTACCTTCGAAAAGTAGGAATTTAGCAAAGTAATGCGTAATGTCCGACAGATAGCCTTAGAGCAAGCAATCTAGCTCAACTACCGCGTTTAAAATTGTGAAGGTATACAAATCGAATGCTCCGATTGCCGAGGTAAGCCGTACTGCTCGAAAGGCAGGTTGCTAGACGTGAGTACGATATGAAAGGGCCAGATGAGACCAGAGATGTGCATGAATGTTGATTGAGTGTTTCCGTAAATGACCTAGAGTTAAAAAAATACAAACACCCGGAGTGAGACTATCTGCAGCATCCAAGAAAACTACGACGTGAAAGAATCCGAAAAGGAGGAAGCAAGTCCTGGAAAAGACCCGATGCATCTGAAAATTTAAATATCGGAACTGGGCGTATTTGTGGGAAGTGCTGATAGGCACGCACATTGTCCTAACATCAACAATCAATGTTGGCACCGTAGTGCCTGATGGGAAGGAGATGCAGAGAGAGGGAAAAAGAAGAAAAGGATGCAAAGGGAGGCCTGTTCGATTAGCCCACGTGAAAAAATAGAACAGAACACAGAGAATAAGTGGGTAGCGGTACATAAGACGAGTTCCGATGATAGTTAGAGGTAACCGGAACATGATGAAAGTGGTGACGATGCAAAACGAGCAATCAGGAGGCGATAGTTACAGGAAGTCGGCAATCTCTTCAGGTAATTCCGTAATTGCGCAATTGTAGTATCGCATAAGATCACCTAAAAACTCCTTTTCAGACTCAGTGATGAAGTTGATCGCTGTCCCCTTACGACCAAAGCGACCACCACGACCGATTCTAGAGATAGAGTGAAATGGAGAAACAAAACAAACCTATGAATGTAGGTTTCCCGATTGCTCGGTAAATCGTAGTTCAGCACCAATGATACTTGCTGCACGTCGATGCCACGTGCGACTATGTCCGTTGACAATAGAATGCGGGACTTTCCGCTACGATAGTCTGCCATGACACGATCTCGTTCCTCTTGATCCATGTCACTATTCTGAAGGAAGAAGGAAATACCGTTACAGGCAGCGAGAAACCTACGATGCAGGATACATGAAATTTTCGGCTGATGAGCTCATTGTACAAATGCCGTGATTTTTGCACCGTGTTGACAAAAATAACCACTTGGCTTAAGTTCATTATGCGATACAGGTCCATCAAAGTGTCAAATTTGTACTTCTCTTCCACAACGTTGATGTAAAATTGTTTGATACCATCGAGAGTCAACTCTTCTTTCTTAACCAAGATGACTGCGGGGTCTTTCATAATTTTTCTGGTCACTTCAAGCATATCTTTCGGCATTGTGGCAGACAACAGCATAATCTAAGTACGTAGGTTAAAATAGTACAACGGACGCATACCTGAGCATCTTCCGGGAGAAATCGATAAATTTCTTTGATTTGGTCAGCAAAGCCCCGAGAAAGCATCTCGTCCGCTTCGTCGAGTACAAATATCTTTATGCTTGCGGTTGTAAGAACACCGCGCTTCATCATGTCCAAAACACGACCAGGAGTCCCCACGACCACATGTTGACCGGAGCTAAGAGAACGGATATCCTCCTGAGCATTCGTGCCACCAATACAAGTGTAACATCGAACATTCATGTATGTGCCGATGCGCTCAACGACCTAACGATGAAGAATGGTCAATGTATGAGCAGCAGTGACTCACCACTTTTAGCTGCCGTGCAAGTTCCCGAGTGGGGGCAAGAATGAGTGCCTGACATGAGTTAGACGTCAAGTCGGCTCTTTGCAAGAGACTGATAGCGAAGGTGGCAGTTTTGCCCGTTCCTGATTGCGCTTGCGCGATAACATCGCGTCCCTCAATACATGGTTTGATAGCTCGTTGTTGAATAGCAGAAGGCTTCTCGTAACCGTAACCATAAATTCCTCGGAGCAAATCATTCTTCAAATTCAATTTTTCAAAGCTGTCAACCACTTCATCGTAATTGGTTGTAAGTTCAGAAGTATCAGAAGAGCTGGAGAAAAAGGCGTTCGGTTAATATAATAAGGTGGGTGACTGGGCACTTTTGTAACTTGGTCAGAAAGAAGAGCACCTGTCCAACGTACAAACAGTTCATCGGTTTAGAATTAAAACAATGTGACAATAGAGCATCGGAAACTGTAAACAATAGAGCTAGTGCACATGCGAGAGTGGATTGGACAATAATGAAAGTTTCGAACCAGGCAAGGCATCAGCAGTTCGTCGGTACGCAGTACCGAGTCTTTAATGCCGCGCGACCAACACCAGTCGCACATGGGCTAAAGATACCGCGAGGGTCGCCCTATCCCTATGCAGACTCGAGCTCGCGCCCTCGGATTACAAGGTAGGCTTGTGATCCTTAGGGCTACGAGGGCCGGTGGTAGAGGGCTTCTGAAACCTGCTGCGAATAAGGGATGAGATACCGCTTCCTTCAACACAAACTATATATATATATATATATATATATATATATATATATATATATATATATATATATATATATATATATATATATATATATATATATATATATATATATATATATATATGTCAACCGTCAGTACACTTAAAAATCTGACGCCTCGCTACCGTGCAACACCGTAAGCAGTCATATACGAGTGTTGGCTGCAGGGGCAGTCAAACACATGAATGGGGCATCAGCAGTACGCCGGTGTCTCGTGCTGATGTTTCGCTGACACATGACCACCGGCGGCTGCGAGTTAGCTAGACACTGCCAGGGCGCCCAAACATACGCACGATCGAATCAGTGGCCTGGAGGTTAAAGGCTACTTGACTACCGGCTGGTATAAGCCGATCCAAGAGCAGGGATTTGAGTCCTTGGTGTGAAGACTGAAAATCAAACGTCTGAACTATCATCCCACGGATTACTTAGGCATAATCTGTAAAATAGTGCAACGGTACAAGATGAGGCGGAAACTTAGCTCTCTGAGCCGACGTTTGGGAAACGGTCAGATTCAAACAGAGATCTGAGATCAAGAGTAGATTTGTGTATTAAGGGAGCTGTGGTTCAGGCGTCCGCCTCACCCCAGCTGTATCACAATCAGCATGCGACCGCTCGCAGTCGCATGGTAGCAAAGCAATAGAATCGGTGTACTACTGAAACCTATAGGCTAATGGGGAAGATGAACAGCCCGGAGTAAATTACGAATATGAGTTAAGTCTCACCAATATTGAAGAAAGTCATATAGTGCTAAAATGTTAACTAATTAAGAACTAAACATCAAAATGTGGCGGATACAGTTGGGGTGACTTTTAACTTCATGATAACAGAAAGAACGATGACGAGCGAGAGAAAGAAAAACAAATTCTGAAAGAAAACGTTAACAGCAAAGTAGTTGACTAAAAACTCCAGCGACAAAAAAGGAGTGTGCAATAGCGCGGCTGACTATGAAACTATAGGGCATCTGATCGATGATATGGATTGACGGAAATCATATACACGGAAGATACATATAAGTCCAATCATTTCTTTCGATCAATCTCTTCATGCGCTAGCTGCGACATCACCTGGCCACACTGCGGCGGCGCAGAGTATAGCGAAGATAGGCAATGCACAAAAAAGGATGGCGGTGGTGGAGAGGAAACAAGCCTTGCACAAACTACAGAATTTGCTTTCAAACTAGTGGAACTAAGGAATTATTCGCTGGGTATTTCCACTATAAATGGGCAATACGGTGCAACCAGTCTTCTGGCCACTTTAACTTAGTAGTCAGGCTTATAATTTTTACAACACGGGTTGTACTGCATGTTATTAGCTCTGCTCTTGGTCAACAATTTAACGCCGCGTTGTTTCCAGCGATGATTGAGCACAGTAACCTATTCGGTTGATTTGATCTTCAAAAGTGACAACCCACCAGAAAAGCAAAGCAACTATCAGTCGCCAGTTAATAGCGAGAACCAGATCGACTCAGTCTCTAAGGGCAACTAGAATTTTGAGACGTAGGACACATGATGAAGTGTGCAGTACCCCGTGACTATCAATACAGAGGCGTTTTCAACACAGCCGAATCCGATCCCAGGAAAGTCATATCCAAAGAGTACTTCAGTTTTCGGCCGGTTACCAGGAACAACTTATGCGATAGAATAAGTGCATGGAGTTAAGTAGGTGATCACCGACAAAATTAATAAGAAAAGAATATTGCAAGTAGCGCCCATTTATCGAGGACAACGACCAATGAATCGACATACGCATCCAAGCAGGCATTTTCCGGTACGCTTTTCATGCATGTGCAGTGCCACAAGCGTGCACGCCCGCAAAAGTACCAGAGATCAGTAGATAAGAAAAGACGTGAATAGTTGGCAGCAAGCATGTAAAGCGCTCTTTCAGTGATTTATCAAAGCCCAATACATTCAGCGCGACCAAACACAAGGAACAAGTCAACACAGCTTCCACTGACCCGGCTATCATGAAGTGTTGTCCTGATATGACCCTTGAGAGGGAACCAGAAATAATGGTAATAAAGCTGGTACCTCTACGAGGCTCGGAATGTGGCCCTCCGTAACTTAAGACAAAGGGATGAATACGGACGACAACCACTCAGTGTCCTAGGTAAAGTTGAACAGTGGATAGACCAGCCGCTAGCAAGACGCAACCGTATTGCAGTAACAGGAGTGGGGGATCATCCAGTGAGACGCAGTATCCGGCCGCGAAAGAAACAAGTAGAGGATATTCCCTAAGTTTTATATGAAGCACCAGAGTCCCAAGTACAAATCTAAACAGAAACATCAGAAGATGTAAGCTGTGAAATGACCCAGTCATTTTGTGCCTTATCCTCAATCATGTACAAGGCAACTAACAAATTGAAAACAAGCAAGGTCGGATGCGGTCGATTAGTGGTCAGCTGATGGTCAACTATTACTGCGGCAGGCTCAATGTTACTGTTAACTGCTTCTGTAAACACAGAGGCAGCCGCTCGCGATCGATTACAATGGCTTCAAGTAGCTTGAGTATATGCGGCCGTTGACTACGCATGAAGGCATTGAATGTGTCACTTGGGTTGATCCGGTGGCCAGTGTTCAGTAGATGCCTTGTGATTGTCGAAGTTATCCTGCCGCTGGATTCATCCGGTTCCACCGTCTGAGATCCCATTCGCTTGCGCACATCATGTATGCAGATGTGTGCAACCAGGGAGGTGCTCATCGATCCTGACGCTTAGACTTCGGTCAGTGCACCCAATATAACTGTCTTCATAGCTACAGGTAAATTCGCATACAATTGACAAGGAACGGTGGAAAATATGGGGTCGAGTGACTTCGAAGTACTCTGTTTATGCTTCAAATGCAGTGATAATTTTCCTCGACTCCCGTTGCAGTTGTACATTACTAACATCCTCCAAAAAATTACTTGGGACACTGCCCAGCTTCTCTGATGATCATTACCTATCTCAAAGTACAGGTCCTCGTTATCCACTAAGGTTTTGAATCTATCCTGGGACAAACAGTGAGCTCACTTGACGTGAGAATGTCTCACACTTTCATCCCACTAACAGGCGCTTCAGAAGTTCCCCCAACACAGGCAAACTAGGCTGGGTGAATAGGTGGTTCTAAAAGCTTTATGCATTGCGTATTTGATGCGATATCAGCCAGATTTGGCATGTCAACTTTCGTAGTCAATGACAAATAGCGTTCCGATCTGGACAGATAGAACCCTGTCATGGACATAACTCAGTTAAGGTGAGTGTAAGCTTGAGAATGGGCGTTGTTGTTTTCGCTACTGTACGTATAACCAATAAGGCTACTATGGTCACGGTCCAGTCACTTCCAAAATCAGATCTTGGCAAAACATATATGCAGCACCCGGTAAACAATATGTATGGCTAAGGATGTGGTCAAAATAAAGTTTATGGGAGAGGAGGGCTAACCTAATGTTTGTAGATTTCAACAACTGTTGGATGCCTGGGAATGCATTACTCGGTTGCTCAGTGTGCTTACGGGCGGACTTAAAGGCAACTCCCTCTCACTGGCAGACTTCAAGGTGAAACGCACTGATTGGCTAGTCGATTGGCATCAGGCTTTGTAGGGCCAAACAGCTCAGGCTTGCAAGCGTGAAGAACGGCTTCGACGGTTGCTTGTACACATTTGCTGCGACGCACTTCTCAATAGGACCCAAGTGCATTTTGAGCACGGATCACTGTATCCGATCAGTACATTGTCGTGATTGCAAGTCTGTTTCTTCTGTGACCACTGGAGAAATTGCGTCCGGTCCTTCCTGAATTACGGAGTGCATAAGGCAAAAGCAACCGACTGAATATCCAGTGCTAGCCATGGTTCACCGGTACTTATATGAACTCTGGTTGGGCGCAGCTGGTTTGAGTATCTAGTACAAATCATTGTACTCACTCGAAGTTTACCGAGACTAAGTCCGTTGTCCATTGTGATCTTGCGCAACAGCCTGAGTAAAATAGTCTGTCCGTGGTGAAACAAAAGTGATTGCGTTCTGTGTCGTTGACTGAAGTAGATTTCCATTCTCGCATTACCCTCTTGCGGGGCGACAGGCTTCAGAAGCAGTAATGAATTCAGAGTATGGAGATTCTACTCGTTAGTATTTATGCTGGTGCCAGGTGACTTGATACCTGGTGTTTGGAGTTGATCCGTACAGTAGCAGGAAAACATCCAACATAGCCCATGCCGCGACGTTTTTGTGCGCTATCGGGCGTGTCCCCAGGTTACTGTGCAGATAATGCCTTCCTTGTGGAGATAATTGTGAATAAGTCCCGTTTGCTTTACAGTCGAGATGAAGAAGCAGTCGCGGATAAACCGCGGAAGCATCTCAGAGTGTGGCAAGTTCTGGGCTGGTCGCCTGGTTCTCCATCAAATACTACAAGGGCTATTACAGCGCTGTGTCAAAGCCAATGTGACTGGCTAAACGGCCACTGACCACTCACTTCTGTATCCAAAGGTGGGTATCTAACAGATGGCGGATGAACAGCTTTGCTGGCCGAGGGCTTCTGTGTAGACTCCTACCGAACAAAGGTG